GATATTTTAACAATTTAAATATTAGAAATAATAATTAAAAAACTTAAATTTTGTGGTTAAATATTATAATTCTCAATCAAAGGATTGTGCCATTATAGAACGTGTTATCATTTAAAATTTGAGTGCGTACATTGTAATACTGCCAAACTAGAGATTATTTCTCCTTTTTTTCAAATTTGTTGTAATTTATATTTTTAATTTTACAAATCAATATAAATTTTGTAGATTTTGTGACTACAATAACAAACAGGATGTTACATGCGAGCTCCAAAGATGGATTCAAGGAGGCGTTGTATGGAATTCAAGTGGAGTTACAGGCAACCCATCCTAACCATTTGATGGATCTTAACAAGTGGAGTTAAGGGCAGTCTTCTTATAACTATTGTAGAGGAGTTGGCATTTGATATTAAAACTTACCTCTCCATCAATATTTAAAAAAAAGTACAAGACTGTAAAAGTGCATTCTCTTTTCTGAAAATTGTTGATCTAGTTTTTGCAACTTACCAAAATTGTTATTTTTAGTTATCAAAATAAAAAAATTTTCTACAAGGATACCAAACAAACCATAAGATATAATTCAGAAAAAGAGATTTTAATTTTAGACTAAAAAAAATTGTTAGTTTGCCAAAAAAAAAAAAAAAAAAGGAATAAACTAATTTTGCCCTTAAATGTCACCAACTAATCCTTATTTTTATACATCAATTAGTTAATAATTTTAAATTTTAAATTTGAATTATGAATTAAGTAGGGAATTTGAGAAAAGTGAAGTGCTATCCACTCTCACATAATCAATCATCTTATGCACTAAAAAAAAAGAAATCAGTGTGATCAATGAGATACTAATAATTTAGAAGGCACTGAGTATTTTTCATCAATATTGAAAATGACAAAAATGTGGTTAATGGAATGTTTAACCATATATTTAAGTTGAGAGAAATGGAGGGGAGCAAAGGGAAGATTTTTTAATCAGTCAAATTATAATATTTTTAAAATGATATAATCTGATTGGTTAAAAAACTTTCTCCTTTCCACTTTTCCTCTTCATTCTTTTCAACTTAAATATACTATAATTTAGTTGATTGGTGATTAAGGAAGTAAAACAGTAATTTTTTGATTAAGGGGTAAAATAGCAAGTGGGAGTTGCAGCCTACAGGCAATCGATCCTAGTAAAATGATCCTACTAGACATTGTAAAAGCCTGAGCACTCTAAACAAAACAAGGTTCCCGATTTTCCTACAATCACGTTGTTTATGAGAGTACTGTTGTTTATTTTTGTTGTTAATTTATTTAATTCATGTCTTCTATTGCATTCATTTTATTATACTTAAACCATGTAGTTTAATTAATGTAATATTCTTGATATATACTTTAATTTCTCATAACTTATCCATCTTTTCTTTTTTCTTTTGTATATTTTTATAATTAATTGGTATTTAAAAGTAAAAATGATATTCTTACTTACATTTTATGTAATTAAAGGAAAAATGTATAAAAAAAATAAAATTTAAAAAAATTACCTCACTAATAAGAAAGAATGTTCTTTCTTATGTATATATTTACGAAAACATATGCACCTATTATTTTAAAATATAAAACGTTTGACTTTTTTATATGTATTTTTAGGTAACATTTTTTAATAGTATGTTAATGATAATTGAATTTTTTTATCAAATAAGACATTTTAATAAGAGTTATTAAAAAAATTTTAATTATCATTTATATATTACAAAAAAATATTGTTTAAAATTACATAAGAAATATTTTAAAACTTCATATTTTGAAACAAAAGGAGTATGTCATATATTGGTCTTTGAAAAATCATTTTTCACAAACCAAAAAAATTTCTTCAGACATATTGTGTAACTCACCTCTTTGAGTTTTATTTTAATGAATAGATTTTTCGATGTCCAAAAAAATTAAGGTTGCTCCAAGATTTGACAGTTATTTCCCAAGATCCCCATCTCCACGTTGCATAATAGCAGCACAAGACCTTTAATTAAAACTTTGTATTTTGGGGCAAAGTTGTGATTTTCTAGTCTTCACGTTGCACAACAGTAGCACAAGAACCGTAAAAGCTATAGTATTATGGTGGGGCAAAAGATTTGTGAAAAGGAGAAATAAAATTAACCAACCCACGTACTGCGTGCGTGATTCACAATCCAGAACGCTTGGCACTAATTAATTAAGACTTAAGACCAAAAAGACTTTCGAGTGTCGGAAAAATAATTCGACCCATCAAGATTTCAAAAAGCAAAAAGAGGATTGTTGTTTACTCGGGATTTCTTTCTTTAGAGTAATTTAGGTGATAACCGTCTTACTTGCCTAATACTTATCTGTGGCTCTATATCAAAATTTTTTTTAAATTAAATAATAAATATAGATTATATTCGATCTATGTATGAAAATACTTGTAGGTAATAGAAGTAGGTAATATTAATTTACCACTACTCATAATTTCTTTTTATTTTAACTGGCATTTTTATAATTCAGCTAACATAATGCCCAAAAAAAAAAAAAAACAATAGTTATTCTTAAGTTCTAATTAAGGATGTCTTTAGTATATAGAATTAATAGTTTGTAGTTTGAAATTTAAACTAATCCAAAGAATAAATATATTTATATTATAAAAAATAAGAGATTATAGAAAATTAAGATATTTTAATAATTTAAATATTAAAAATAATAATTAAAAAATTTAAATACTTTTAATAAATTAATATGCTAAAAAAATTTATTAAAAGTATTTAAATAATTTTACTACTACTTTAATATTTTAAATATCAATATATTTTAAATTTTAATTTTCTAAAGCAAATATATATATCCGTTGAATATTAAATACTAATTATATTTGGAGTGAGATTAACTTACACTAATGTGAATTTATGAAATACTTACACCAATTAATTTTATATCAATTATTTATCAGGTATGCTATCTTTTTAAAAAGGCAATCACTATTCACGTAACATACAAATTAAAAAAATTAT